CACACACACACACACACACACACTCAAACAAACAAACACACACACACACATAGACACTTACACACACATAAACACACACACACACACACACACTCAAACAAACTCTCACTTTCACACACACACACACACACACATGTTGTGTTGTTTCTATCATATCTGTCAAACGTCTACAGATTTTTTGTACATGTGTAGAATAAAAAAAATATGGAAGATTCCCCAGTTGTAAAATAATTTGTGTCTTTGTAAATATCATCACTAACAATTTTCACATTTGCTGTACTCATGGGAATAGTTTTGGTTGTTATTGTAAATGCTTTATGATGTCCTAATTATTGACACAAGTGTGATCGTGTATGAAGTAAAGTCAGCTGTTTCATTTCTGCTTGTCAAGACCTTCTTCTTCTTCTTCTTCTTCTACCCCTTCTTCTTCTTCTTCTTCTTCTTCTTTTTTTTCTTCGTCTTCCCTCCCGTGGTTGGGGCAACCATGGGGGGCACCACTGCATCTGAAAACCAGCTCTCGCCATTTCTCTTTCTCGTCTGCTTTTCTCAGATTGTCACCCATCGTCTTCCCTGTCCACTCTGTGATTTTGTCCTCCCATCGCCTTCTCTGCCTTCCTCTCTTTCTCTTTCCTTGTACGGTTCCTTGTAGGATTGTTTTGGCAAGACCTGTGGATCTTGTGACATGCACATACCATTTTGATTTTCGTCTCTTCACTGAGGTCAGTAGATCTTCATACTGCCCCACTGCGTTTGTGATTCTGTTCCGTACCTCAGCATTTGAAATGTGGTCTTTGTACGAGATGTCAAGGAGTATGGGGTAAAATCTCATCTCTGTGGTCTGAATCCTTTTCTCCAATTCTGCTGTCAGTGTCCACGACTCACAGGCGTATATGTCAGCACCAGCACGAGGCAATTAGGCTGTCCCCGGGGTTTTATGCACCCGCATAATTTAGCAAAATTTGATCATTTTTGGCCTAATTTCTGATTATTTTCCTTCATCATTCTTTGTTAAAATTAATAGAATCGCATAATTTCCCATTTTTGGGATCAGTTTGCATAATTTCTAAATTTTCTTTGCATAAAACCACGGGGGCAGATTAGGATACACAACATCTGAATAAGCAGACAGCGAAAATATTATATCTATAATATTATACTTGATGAAATATAAAATAAATTCCCCACTGTTATCAAACTTGCGTTTCTTGAGTGCGCCAACATAAAGCCTAACCATTATTTGCAACACATTTGCCAGTCAGTTGATGGAAAGATTATGCTTTGTTGAAAATTTACAATCATTTAAAAATATTTTCTTGTAATTTTCTTGTTTTTGCTTGTAATGAATTTAACGAGGTTGTTTTCTTTTCATCACGTTTTACACAGATGCACAGAATGTCCTTTTTCTAAAGCTTTCAGTCGCTAATGATGAGCTTTTGTAAGAGGAGAAAAAAGACACCAAATGATTGTCAATTTTATTATATGTGTATATTCTGACTGCTCCTGGAACTGAATAAAAATGGAATAAGTGAAAATGTTTGTTTGATTTCTCGCATATTTAATGATTTAATCACCCACGAGATGTTTGTTATCAATTCTGTCTTTTTATTGATTGGATATAATGTTTTTCTTTCCCCATTAACGAAGTTTAGATAGTTTGAGGTCGAGGGAGGTTGTTTTGAGTTTGTCTGTAAGAGACAAACCTAGACTTGGGAAAATTTAGCATTTCAGCCAACATGAATGTCATCTGTGTGCTGTGGTGGGGAGGCTATGGTTACACCACAGATGCTAGTTGCGTAGTCTAAAACAGCCGAATGCACTGAGAGAGAGAGAGAGAGAGAGAGAGAGAGAGAGAGAGAGAGAGAGAGAGAGAGAGAGAGAGTGCTGAAG